TGTACCATTCTACATTACGCTGAGCCATTTCACGCAACGCTACACTGTTTGCATGTACGCTGAGCCATTTCACACAACACTACACTGTTTTTATGTACGCTGTACCATTCGACATTAAGTTGAGCCATTTGACGCAACGCTACACCGTTTGTGCGTACGCTGTGCTACTCGACGTTACCCTGAGCCGTTTAACTCAACGCTACACCGTTTGAGTACTGTATTTCAAATGAGTGCTAAGCTATTCGTAATTGAGCTAGTCCATTCCACAATCTCATGATCCAACTCAACATGGGCTACTAGACCGTTTCTCGTTTGGCTAAACTATTCATGTTTAGGGTGTTCTGTTTCACGACTGCCTATAATTTGGCTATGCCATTCCTTTATTAGCTATGCTATCCTGCAGCTGATCCTTACACCATCTTTGTATTTGCTGATCTTTTTGACATCCTTGTATTTTTGGTGGTGACGGCCGCCCATAAACATGGCTACAGCTTCCGCATCTGTTGCAATGCGAACAGCCCAGCAGCTCGAACATCAACGCAGGTGACAAAGAATATTTAGATAATTTCTCATCAGCCTTCTATGATGTCTCATCTGCTTTGCGGCAATGTTTATCCTTAGCATCATTATCTCCGACTACGGTTGCAAATAATGTTTGTCCCATGGTAAAAAGTGATGAGGCTGGTAAGCTAGCTTTCGATGTCTCTGCGGAGTTGCTCAAAGACTTCCTTAGTTTGGAATTTAGCTGCACTAGAATTTCGGAAATGTTGGGAGTGTCTCGTTGGACTGTATCAAGGAGACTAAATGACAATGGTTTAGAAGACTAAATCGTTCAGTAAACTGTCTGACGACGAGTTAGACAAGGGTGTACGAGGTTATATATGTGAGCATGGAGCGACAAGTGGACAAGTGTATCTTACAGGATACTTAAGATCCTTAGGATTGCAAGTTTCATCGCTGGTCCCTCAACTCACAATCAAAGGATTGAACGTCTTTGGAGAGAGGTGTACCAATGCGTTTGTCACCTTTTTTAGTATACTTTTTATGCTATGGAATCATCAGGGCTTCTCAATGTGGAGGATCCGATTCAGATCTTTGTATTGCATACCATTTTCATCCCCAGAATAAGTCATTGTTTAAATGAATTTTCCGAAGCTTTCAACAGCCATGCAGTAAGTACCGAGGGTAATTGGACCCCATCTCAAATCTGGATAAATTGCATGATCCATTCTAACAATCCACTTGCACACGGGAATATTGATGAAGAGCCAGATGATGTTCAGCTATATGGATATGATCCAGAGGCCTCTCTCCTTCAGAAGAAAATAACAATGTCGTTGTTGAGTCAATTCCTTTAGATAACAAGGATATCTTAGAGTCTTACGTGTTGGATGTTGTTGACCCTCTAACAATGTCCACACAATTGGGTATTGATCTTTACACTCAAGCTCTATACCTAGTCATGGAAAGAATGGACCTTTAAAATAATTAGATACCTCTAAGAAAGAAAAGTCACACACACACACATGTAGTAAACCTTCAGGGACATTATGTCTATTAAAATACCATTCTGAAGCTACTGTCATAAGTCTTGGTAATGATGACATTGTTTAACTGGCTGTTAAGACTGCTGGTTTCATCAATCTTGTACTGTTTGCCTTGAGGAAAACTAGGTCCTCACTTGCAACTGCAGGATACTTCATCTGGATAGCATCAGACAACGCCTCTCTGATTGCCTGCTCATTATCGTTCGAGCTGAGCGTTACAAAGCCTGTCAAGACAGTTCTTTCGTTAGTCAACATCAAGCTGTCAGATAGAGCATTATCCGAGTAACCATCCTCCCCCTCATCATCAAACCTCACCAATACAAACTCAAATACCTTACTACTCTCGACTTTTGCTTTCTTCAACTTAACGGGAGCAGTCACAGAGGACGAAGTGGCTCGAAGGCGCTCTCGATCGTTTTAACGCGCGTAAAATCTTACATACATACTTACGTACATAGTTTAATATCAAGTAATGAGTTGAATACAAAACAACACGTTGGAAGTTGAATGAAAGTTGAATATCTCATATTGCCAGGAGCCCAATTAATTACACGATCACAGCTCGGACACTTCTTGAAAAATGTGATAACTATCAATTTTAGAGATGGATTCTTCAGTTTCCAGCACTAGGAAAAATTTATCATATCGCAAGCATGTTTGTCATAACCCAAGCAAGAGAAAGTGGCTCCATTTTTTTTGACACAAACCATTTCTTGAACTTCGTATGCATCGATAAGAAAGCATGATAACATAGCGCTAAAAAGTGCCAAAAGAAAACAATGACATTCAATCCTCCCATGGTAGGATTAATGCCATTTTACCCATGAATTTGTTTACACCACACATTTCGCGCTCGACAATTTAATTCTTAGATGTTTGACGGGTTCTCACATAAGATTATTTTAAAAATCAAACTACCGCGACAGACTTAATGTAAACATGACTCAATCTCATTATATTTCAATTTTGGGAAAAGCTATCGCGTCGTTCTTAGAGTAAAACAACGAATCTTCGACAAAGCACGACTTTTTAAATGAATCATTTAAACCATGCGATAGCTAACTGAAGAGGGAATGATAGAAACTTGCTCACGCAGTTCGCTATCATTTTAAAACTTTCCAGCAGACATAATCCGTAGGTTAACTTACTTTCCCTAAGCACCACGACTGTGTTATACATTCCAAAAGGTAAGACAATAAATAATTTTAAGAATACGAACACTTTGAAACGTTATTCGAACAATGAACCGGTGCGAGGGTTTTAAAGGGATGAATACAAACGTCACTGTTTTACGGAAAGGTGATTTGGGTTTATAAACTGAAGCTGGTATCAAACGACGATTAGAAAAAAGATTTGAATTTTTCTGGACCTTAGAGTGAGAGAAAATCCAGATGAGACACGACTTACCTCCTCTTCTTTCTCAGAACCTTTGTGCCTCACTTCTCTTTGATGATGACCCCTTTTCAGTTTATTTTCTAGAGCTCTTTGTATTTCCTTCTCACGTTGCTCTTTGTTAGATATTCGCTTTTTACATACGTCTTTTCTTGTTTTCTTTCGCGTTCCTCTCGCCGTTTTCTGCTTATTTTAGCATCCTTTCTAACTTTCCTGCGCGTTTTCTCGACTTACTTGACGCCTTTTGCCTTTTGCTTTCTTTGGCCGCCCTGTCTATTTCTTTCCGGCCTATTTTCATTCAAAACCCTCTTTCCGCAGACTTGAATTATAACAATTTCCTGCGGTTGACAAAGCTTTAGCTCTGCTGGTATTGTTGCGTTGCAAGTTCATAAGAAAAATAAAAATACTGAGAATTACTGTTAAACTACAACCTCACCAATTTGATTTCCCGCTCAAAACGCGTGTCGCAAATTATTTGCTCACGCGGTCTCACATCAACAAGGCCACGTGAACCCCTCGTTTAATGCCTAACTGTGTGCCTGTCGCACGCTGCACTAGAGCTCGGCACTCGAGTATTGGCACTTCATAGTAATCTGCCGGTGTTTCCTGGCGCACATAAATGGAGTATCCTAGTTACACATGCAATCGCATCTGCGCATTACCTTCTCTTTCGCCCTTCCATTACGTAATGGCTAAGATAGTGGCTGTAATGCAGTGAGCTGCGCATGCTCAAAGTTGCACCTTATACAGATGCCCGTATGGTGTCAAGTCCAAACTTTTTCGGCTTGATGGGTTACTACTATTTTTATAATTATGGGGCTTCGCTGCGCGCGCTGCAAGCTCCGCTATAATGGGTACATTTGAAGGAGATCATAGCAAAATAGATACAACTGTAGAAGGTGTTAAAGGAGCAGCAGGGCCACAAGTACTAAACGGTGATAAGGGTGTGATACTGGTCCAAAAGGAGACAAAGGTGATACAGGTCTAAAAGGAGATACTGGTACACCAGGAGGCTAAACGTGACCAAGGAGATACTCGTGCACAAGGCTTAAAGGGTGATACTGGTGCACAGGGGCCACTTGGTAGTGGTTGTGCTGGGTCTCAGGGTCCTAAAGGTGTCGAAGGAGATACTGTAACACAAGGACCAAAAGGTGATACCCGTTTTCATGGTCTAAAAGTTGACAAAGGAGATACCGGTCCTCAAGGTCCTAGGGGTGATAAAGCTGACATTGGTGTTAGAAGTCGAAAAGTTGATCAAGGGGACACTGGAGCACAAGGACCTAAGGGTGAGGAAGGTGATACAGGACCACAGAAGCTATCTGGTTGTGGTGATTCTGCAGACCTTTTAACTGTTTTATTATTTCGTGGAACTCAGCTAATGGCAGGTACTTTGTATATGAACAGTGAAAAGTTTGTTATTCTTGGAGATCCATCAGGTGCAAGAGATCCTAATAATAAAAAGTATGTTGACACTACCGGAAACAACACACTGAGTGGCTCTGAGACTTTCCAAGTTGATATAAACATGAATAACAACGGTATTAAGAACTTGAACTTTAGCATTGAAGAATAAGTCAGGTGTGGCTTATGCACCATATTTGGTCGTTCGTATCATACTTGATGGCGTCTGTGAATATCGTAATGATGTTCCAGCTAGTGTGAGAGATAAAAAGTTTGAAATAACTAATGGTACTCTCAATTTCCACACAGTAAGTTAAGTGTAATGGAACCACTTAAGTTAGTTGTGCATTTTGTGCAGCTGAAGTATTTGTTCAGCTATTAATTTTTACTACCTCAACCAATTAAGGAAGATGATGCAATCTGTGCAATTGAACTGTCTTTCGTGGTTTGACTACTTAACAAGTTTAGTCAAGTAAAATAGTTTGACTATTTTAAATACTTCAAGAAACTTAGCTAGCTTAAATGCTTCAACTGCTTAATTAACTCAAACAAGCAAACAAATAAAGTGCACAAATTGGAAAAGTTATTTTTATTAGTGGAAGTAGTTCACACGGTCAAACAAGCCTAAATAATTCTATTGTGGCTAGTCACGCTGAAACATTTTTGCTGTTTTCTTGCTAAATTACACTGTTTTCAGTTGTTTCCAGCTTATTACGCTGATTAATGTTATATCTCACTGACAACAACAATTTTTTTTTGCTGCTAAATTACGCTCTTTTTCGCTCTATTGCACCAAAAACCTCTTTTTTTGATTGTTTGCTGTTGTTACGATGTTTTTAGCTTTCTGGCATTAAAACTGGTTTTTAGGCCCTTTTTGCGGGTAACTAACTGATCTTAGCCTCATCTCACTCAAAAGAATGTTTTTGCTGTTTTGTTGCTAAATTACGCTGTTTTCATCTTTTTCGCTCTGGAAAAAGGTTTTGCCTATTTGCAGCTAATCACACTGATTGTTGCTATATCTTACTCAAAGCAACGTTTGTGCTTTCTTTTCGCTAAATTACTCTGTTTTCAGCCTCATAGCACGAGAATTAGGTCTTTGTTTGTTTGCAATTAAATTAGGCCGGTTTAACGTTTGGCGCAAGTATAACATTTTTGCACTTGTTTGCCACTGTATTAAACAATTTTCAAATTTATCCCACTGCAAAAAGTTTTCCTGTTTGCAGCTAGTGACACTAATTTCAGCTTTATGTCAATCAAAATGTTCCTTCGCTTCTTTGCCATTGAATTATGCTGCTCTTAGCTTTATACCAAGGTAAAAACATTTATTCGCCTGTTGCTGTTGCTATGCTGTTTTTAGCTTTCTTGACCGCTCTGTGCCTTACCTCGCTCAAAACAACGTTTTTGCCGTGTTGTTGCTCAATTACGACGTTTTTCTGCACTGAATAAAGGTTTTCGCCAATTTCCAGTTAATAACGTTGATTGTACCTACATCTCACTCAAAAGAACGTTTTTGCTGTTTTGTTGCTAAATTACACTTTTTCAGTTTTTTTGCACTAGAAAAAGGTTTTCGTCTGTTTGCAGCTAATCACGTTGATTCTAACTATACCTCACTTACAACAGCATTTTTTATTTTTGCTGCTAAACTACGCTCTTTTCAGCTTTATCACGCCAAAAAACCTTTTTTGTGCCTCTTTGCTGTTGTTAGGCTGTTTTAGGCTTTCTTGCACTAAAACTAGTTTTTTTTATGTCCGTTTGCAACTAACTGCGCAATTTGAGCTTTATCGTTTTTGCTAAATTACACTGATTTTTGCCGCACATAAAGGTTTTCGGCTGTTCTCAGTTAATCACGTTTTTTATACCTACATCTCACTCAGAAGAACGTTTTTGCTGTTGTGTTGGTAAGTTTGTGTTGTTTTGGTGCTATATTACGCTTTTTTAAGCTTCTTCGCATTAAAAAAAGGCTTTCGCCAGTTTGCAGCTAATCACGCCGATTCTAGCTATAACTCACTGGAAACAACATTTTGGATTTTTTGCTGCTACGCTCTTTTTTCGTTTATCACACGTTTTCCTCGCTTGTTTGTCGTTGAATTAAGCTTTTTGTAGTGTTATTGCTGTGAAAAGAGGTTTTCTGCCTTTATGTAGCTAATATCATTCGTTTCAGCTTTATCTCGCTTAAAGTGTTTGTTTGCCGCCGAATGTCGCTATTTCTTAGCTTTGTTGCACAGGAAGCAAAAATGTTTATTTTTTCAGTAAAATAGAGCTAAAATTAGCGTGATCAGCTGCTGACATGCGAAAAACCTTTATCAGTGCGATGAAACGTTTTGGTGCGATAATGTTAAAAACAGGATGATTTAGCGACAAAAAAGGCAAACCGTTGTTTTCTTCATTACATAAATCTCAAAACAACGAATTGAGACAACTCCCTTACTTTCTGCATTTTGTGAAGTTTAATAACTCTTTCCTGTCTTTGCAATTTTTTTCACTTGAACTTGATATTGGCTTGTTTGACTTTTTAAACTAATAAGGCCCTTGTCCGATTAAGCCCTAACCCTAAGCTCATTTGACCATTTAAACTACTTGAACTAATGAAGATAATTTGTCCAATTTGTGCAGTTTCACGGTGTTCCCTTTTTTGACTCTCTTAACAGTTGAATCCATTTACCTAGTTTGACCATTTTAACTACTGGATTCAGTTAAGCTACATTGTAGAGATGTTGCAGTTGAATCATTTGACCCAGTTATGCATTTTTCTTCAATTGAACCGTTGAAGCAAGCTGGTTATGCATTTTGTCCGGTTAAGCCATAAAGGCATGTGTCATTTAACGACCTTAACCAATTAAAATAACTTGTTAAATTTAGCGGCTCGACTCTTTTCCCTAGTTTGACTATTTAGACCAATTAAACTTATTAAGCCCTTTGACAGATTAAGCTGATTCGACCATTTTAACTAGTTGAACCAATTAAGGTAGGTTGTGCTGTTAAACCATTTAAGCTAGTTATACATTTTGTCCTGTTAAATATTTTTAGCTAGTTGACTAACTGGTTACATTGTCAGGCCAGCGAGGATAGTTAAATACGCAGGCAGTTCAGATGGTCAATCTAGCTTAGAAATCTCAACCGGACAAAATGCATAACTAGGTTAAATAGTTCTAACAGTAAAATAGTCAAACTATCGAAAACAGTATACCTACACAATTTACATAACCTGTCAACAGGTTAGACTAATTCAAATTGTCAATCAAGCTTAAACTGTTCAAGTGGACAAAATGCATCTAACCAGTTGACATACCTTAAATGGTTCAATAGGTAAAATGTAAATCGAGCGAATAGTAGTTGAACTGCACAAATTGCACAATCCATCTTATAATTGGTTCATGTTTTCAAACTAACTTCGAGGCTTTAATTGGACAAAATAAATAATTAACTCAATAGGATCAACTGCACAAACTGCACAGTCTAGCTTAACTGGTCAAAGAAGGTTATTTGCTTCAATTGCAAAACAATGATAACTAGCCTAATCAGTTCAAATACACAACCTGGATAATCTAGCTAAAATGATTAACATGGTTTAAGACTCAAACTGATGTCAACTGAGAAAAATTGCACAATCTATCTCAACTGGTTAAAGTACTTTAACGATCTGACCAGCCAGTTAAGACGAATTACGGTCAAGTCACCAACGGTTCAACCCGCCAATGCCAACTTGGACGCATAAAATCGAGTACAAACTTCGGCGAGTTGGTCTTTAATCCAGTACAACTTATTAGAAATTAAACATCTAGAAAATTAAAAGATCTTTAGTACAAAAACATATTTTTTCCTTCAACAAAGTTTATAAGGATCTCATTGCGAATAAAGCAAGGCAAACGTTGCCAATGACGATAAAAGCTTCAGACGCGAACAAGTTATTGTATGACAACAACACTTAAAGACTCATCACGTCAAATCCGTCACTTTTTTTTGTAGATTTTAGAAACCTCTACTTTCTAGACAAGATCTTTAGTGGAAAACAAGTCTTTTCATTTCCAACAAAAGTTATAAGGATGTCAAGGCGAATAAAGCAAGGTGAATATTGGCAATGACCAAAAAAGACGCCAACGAGTTCTTGTGTGACAACCATACCAACCACACAGAACCGCATGGTTTTTTAACTTAAAGAATGATTTATTCATGATCGAGAACATTTGATTTATGATAAAACTTGATATATTGTAAAGATCAAATGAACATGTGAAAGCTTTGTATATCATGAAATTATTCTGCTCTTAAAGGTCCGTTTAATCTCGACATCGATTTCAAAAATGGAGCCGCTGTTTTTTCACCAGTCTCCGCAAGTTCTAAAACATGCGCCATTCTCATATTTCTTCCAAAATCAAAATGCCTTACTCTTCGATTGCCTATTAGCCCTTCTTTGGATTCTGGTTAGCTTGTGGTTATATGCTAATGATAATTGTATCGCAAAGCATTTTGCCGTTCATAAGCATAGCCCGGTATTAAGACGAACCAGACGTAAACACCCTCAAAAGTGAGTTACCGAAGCGTGAATCTGGAATGACGCTGGTTGTCATACGATAACTCGTTCGCGTCTGAAGTTTTTTTTGATCATTGCCGATGCTCACCTGCTTTATTGGCCTTGACATCCTTTTAAACTTTGTTTGAAATGAAAAAAAAAATGTTTTTTGCTGAAGATCTTGTCTAGAAAGCCAAGTTTTTCTTTTTTTAAAAGAATCTGACCGATTGAAATATTGTCTATACTGTGTTGTTGTCACACAGTAACTCGTTCGTGTTTGAAGCTTTTATAGTCACTGGCGATAAAACGACTTTTTTTTACTAAATATATTGTTTTTATCTTTATAAACTTTGTTTGAAGAAAAGAAATTTTTTTTTTACTAAAGATCTTTTTACTTTTCTATGTTTCACTTCTAATAGGTTTTACTGGATTGAAGACCTACTCGCCGACGTTTCTACTTGATTTTACACGTCGGTCAGTTGGCGTTAGTTGAATTGTCAGCGACTTGACTGGATACCACCAAGACAGTCAAACTGCACAGATTGCAAAATCTTTTTTAACTGATTGGGTAGTTCAAATAGTCAAACTGGCTTAAATAGTTCTATTGAACAAGATGTAGAACTATCTTAAATGCTAGTTATACAAACTGCACTATCTAGCTT